ATGCATTCCATTCATCATATAAAATAATTTAAATGAAAAGTTAATTGAATACTTATAGCACTACTTTTTTCAAAGTATAAAAGAGGCAAAAGGAAAAGCTAGTTTCAGCATCATGCACTGAAAGAAATCTAAATTGTAACAAATTATGTATATATTTAGTCTTCATTTCCTGTTCAAATACTTCAAACACATTTATAACCATTTGGAACTCTTATTACCAATATTTTAAGATGCTACACCATCCAATAAGAAATACTCACTGTCTTATTGTTAAAGAGTGATATTTAAATAATGCCATAACATATGTATTATCAATTAAGCAATGAGCTACCAGTCAGTATGTTTTGCCGTATAAAGGTAAAGAATTTAAGCCAAGGTAAAGCTTGTGTTTGTTTGACTTAGAAAGCCAAAGTTGAACCTATGTGACAACTCTTTGATCAAATGGAATAACTGAAGCATAAGAAAATTTGTTTTTAGTGTAATTACCAATCGTCCTCCCTTCTTCCTACTGAGAAACAACTGGGTCTTGTTTAAATACTGATTAATTTAAATTACATTTTTTTTTTTTTGAGACGGAGTTTCACTGTTGTTACCCAGGCTGGAGTGCAATGGCGCGATCTCAGCCCACCGCAACCTCCGCCTCCTGGGTTCAGGCAATTCTCCTGCCTCAGCCTCCCGAGTAGCTGGGATTACAGGCACGTACCACCATGCCCAGCTAATTTTTTGCATTTTTAGGAGAGACAGGGTTTCACCATGTTGACCAGGATGGTCTCAATCTCTTGACTTCGTGATCCACCCGCCTCGGCCTCCCAAAGTGCTGGGATTACAGGCTTGAGCCACCGCGCCCGACCTAAATTACATATTTAATGTGTGATACATTTGTCTTGGCTTTGCAGAACACCAAAATGATAGATTAATTTTTATATGATAATTAGAGCCAAACTGTTATCAATAAGAATGTTGAAATATTTAAGATTATGAAAGTTTAGTGCGCTATTGATGTGTTGCTTTTCAAAATGGTTAAGGCAATCTCACTTTGAAAATTGTTGTACTTGATAATGAAGCCTCCTTGTGGCGAATCAGCAGTATTTCAGGCTTTCAAATCGCAGGTGAACTGTTTTAATTTTCCCCCTTCACAATGGGAATGTCTGTACTGTAACATTGTTATCAAGAAAATATGTACTTGTCTCTGGACCCCTGACATCCAGAAACCAGCAGGAACTTAATGGCTACCAGACAATATGTACTGCCTTTCCTTTGGTTTGTCTGTAGTCCTAGTAGCTACAGATAAACGAGTATTTTTTTTTTTTTTCAGTCGAATTGATTATGTTCTCTGGAGAGACAACAAGTTAGCTGACAATTGTTTTCACTTTTAAACTGTCCAATGTAGCTGGGCTTTATGATGCATGCCTGTGGTCCTAGCTATTTGGGAGGCTGAGGCAGTAAGATTGGTTGAGCCTAGGAATTGGAAGTTACAGTGACCTATGATTCTGCACCTCACTCCAGTTTGGGGGAGAGCAAGACCCTATCTCAAAACAACAATTAAACTGTCCCATGTAGAGGGGGCCTTGAACATATTGAGTCAGGTAGATGAATGTTTTGCTTTAATCTCATGGAGTTATTCTCTACTTCTGACCAGAGGGCACATTCCTCTAAGAAAGATAGACTTACTGAACAAAGCCCTGAGGTTAGGGAGAGAGATGGCAGCCACCCAGATAAGCCAGCTCAACTTTTATGTTTAAATCTGATGGCTTATACTTTCTTGGCCAATGATACAGGGAGATCCAGGTGAGGAAGAAGAACAGTCAGGACCAAGGGAGTAGTGATATGGTAAGGCTATCCTCTACGCCTTCTCCCATATGTGGAGAGGAAAGAACTGAGTTTTAAATGTAAAATAATCTCAATCCAAGAGAGAGGGATAATATAACAGCATGATTAAAAATAAAAAGATAAGACTGGTTTATAACACAATTAAATTTTCTCTAGGATTATTTTTAACTACTCAAATACACAACTCAGAAGGGTTCCTATGGTCTGGTATATTGTTGGGGACCCAAGCCAGTAATTCAGGCCTCCCTCTGAGGCTACAGAGGCAGAAACGGCAATACCTCCAGCCAACAGGCCTGAAAACACTGATGTCCCAGTGCATATAGTAGATAGGTAAATTAGTTTACTCCTTCCAAGGCTAAGTAGAGAGACTTAAACCTTTCTTCTTTACACAGACCTCTCAAAATGCTCTTTAGTGGTTTATTTAAAAATACATTCTTTTATTTTAAAAAGTAATGCTTATTATAAAAAATATAATGGAGTAAATTATATTAACAATTGAAGAACATCTATAATTATATTGTTTGGTAAAGATATTCTTACTTGGCAGTAATATTATTTGGTAGATATCCTTCCTAATTTCTTTCTTCCTTTTTTTTTTGAGACAGAGTCTCATTCTGTCACCAGGTGCTAGGCTGAAGTGTAGTGGTGGGATCCTGGCTCACTGCAACCTCCGCCTCCCAGGTTCAAGCAATTCTCCTGCCTCAGCCTCCCAAGTACCTGGAACTACGGGCGCATGCCACCACACCAAGCTAATTTTTGTACTTTTAGTAGAGACGGGGTTTCACCATGTTGGCCAGGATGGTCTTGATCTCTTGCCCTCATGATCCGCCCGCCTCGGCCTCCCAAAGTGCTGGGATTACAGGCGTGATCCACTGGGCCTGGCCCTTTCCTAATTTATTTCAATATTTTCATTTCAATATGTTCATTTTCAAAAATGAGGTTACTTTAATTGTACCATTTTATAAGACCTTTTCTTTTATAAAACATTATAGATAAAATTAATATCAATAAATACAGATTTCATAATAAAAATCAGCATTTATTGGCCATTTACTCTGTGCAGACATCATGCTAAGTGTTTTATAGGAACATCCATCCATTATGTAAATTATTTCATCCTTCTACCTAGGACTATTTTTCAGAATTTGACCCTGGTAGGTGGAGCTCCAGTAGAAAATGGTGGTCTTTCCAAGCTGAGAAGGCAGAGATCAGAGTTCAAGACAGTTGAAGGGACTGGAATTTGTGGAAAAGAAAGGAGTAATATGATGGAGAGAGAAAGATGTCTGCACGGGGCTCTTTATAAATCTTTGGTATAGAGCTGGGTTGCACATGTGTAGAACGAAGCACCATGAGACCTAGGATAAAATAGCTATTGTAGGAGTGAGAGGTGAACAGAAACACCTAAAATTACACTGGTCTAGATGATGTTGTAGGTGTTATAGTCTAGCTGGAGTGGAGAGATTTCATTGAGCACCTCAGGCATTCATTTAAGACAACAAATGCCTTGAAAATAAAAGCCAAGTTTTAAAATAAGAGCCACATGTTAGGACAAGGAACAAAACCAAAAAAGACTGACTCCAATGCAGAATGACACCAAGCCTGAAAGGATTTGGAGGACCTTCTAGCAATTTAAATAAAAGGCCCTTTAAAACAAGACTTAAAATCCAGATTCTTTGCAGCGCGTCATCTATAATATTATGCATGTAATCAAAGATAACTAGACATGGAAAAAAGAGAAGACAAGAAAATATGACCCATTATCAAGGAGAGGGAAGCAGTAAATTAAAACCCAACTTTATACAACCAAGGTGTTTGAAATAGAAGACAAAGACTCCAAAAGTACCTATTAAAATATGTTTAGGGCTTAAAGGAAAACATGGATATAGTGAATGACATATGGGAACTATCAGCAAGGAACTAGAAATTCTATTTGTTTTCACCACATACTTATTTTATCCATTCTGGAACTTCATATAAATTGAATTATACAGTATGTACTCTTTTGTTTCCAGATTTTTCTCTTTGCAAAATGCCAGTAGCATTTATTTATGTTGCTGTATGATCAGCAGGCCCTTTTTAATGCAGAATAAACAAAATGTAGTAGATGCTTACATTTAAATGTAGAATCACAGCAATTATAATAGCTACAAGTGTAGACTGACACAATAGTGTTTTTTCACAGTCTTAGCTAAAGAGGTGTAGTAAATTATGATACAGCTTTCCAAATGGGTGAATATTTTTACTAACAATCTAAATAAAATAGATATAATAAAAGTTTCAATTTGTAAATAGAGTTGCATTTCTAGAAACTTTTTGTGTATATTAAAACCCTGTTTAAAACACTTTTTTCTATGCAGAATGAACTTAAGTTATGGAATTACATAATGATTCATAAATCTGTCAGCTATTTCAATGTCTGGTGGGACATCTGAAAGGTATATGGGATGTAAGACAATCTGCATTGGTCATTATTCTCTCACGCTTTATAGGACATCCAGAATTATTAGACACCACTTGCTAAATGCTAGTGATATTGTGAGACGAGAAATGCTTCCCCAAATTTCCAAAATGCTCTTTAGGCAGGAGTAATATTCCTATTGACAAGAGCTACTCTTTGCCTTTTCATCACAATCTTACCAACTGTCATATTCGTGTGTTTTCTCTTTGAAAATGTCAAAAAGAGAATGAGGAAACCAGTCACAGACTGGGAAAAAATATTTGCAAAAGACATATCTGATAAAGAACTGCTACCTAAACATATTTAAATGACTGAAAACCCAACAAGAAAATGAAGAACCTGATTTTAAAATGGCCAAAAGGTCTGAATAGACACCTCATCAAAGAAGACATGCAAATGGAAAATAAGCATATGAAAAAATGCTCAACATTACATGCCATTAGGAAATGGCAAATTAAAACAACCTTGAGATATAACTGCATACCTATTAGAATGGCCAACATCTAAAACACTAACAACACCAAATCCTGGCAAAGATAAGGAGCAACAGAAACTCCCATTCATTCCTGGCAGGAATGCAAAATGGTACCTCCATGTTGGAAGACTGTCTGGCAGTTTCTTGCAAACCTAAACATATTCTTAACATACAATTCAAGAATCATGCTCCTTGATATTTACCCAAATAAGCTGAAAACTTATGTTCACAAAAATGTGCACACAAATGTTTATAGAAACTTCATTAATAATTGCAAAATACTGGAAGCAACCAAGATGCCATCAGCAAATAAGCAGATAAATAAGATATGGTACATCCAGACAATGGAATATTACTCAGCGCTAAAAGGAAATGAGGTATTTAGCCATGAAAAGATATGGAGAAACCTGAAATGCATATTACTAAGTAAAAGAAGCCGATCTGAAAAGGCTACCTACAGTATATTTCAATTATATAACAGTCTAGAAAAGGAAAAACCATGGAGACAGAAAGTTTCAGTGGTTTAAAGAGACTATGAGAAGGAAGGGCTGAATGGATGGAGCCCAGAATTTTATGGCAATAAAACTCTTCTACATATTGCTATAATTATAGATACATGTATTGTCATTTGTCAAAACCCGTAGAGTGTACAACACTAAGAGTGAACCCTAATGTAAACTATGGACTTTGGCTGATAACGATGTGTCATTGTAGGTTCATTGATTATAACAAATGTACCTCTCTGGTAGGGGATACTGATAACAGGTGAGGCTTTGCATGTGTGGGGGCAAAGAATAAATGGGAAATCTTTGTACTTTCAGTTTTGCTGTGAACTTAAAAATGCTCTAAAAAAATAAAGTCTACTAATAAAATGTTGAAAAGATGCCATGTTTAAAAAATGTTGTCCACTAATCACAATCTCTACTTCCTTCCTAGCTACAGTTCTTGGCAGAGCTACTTGGATTAACAATGGTGCCTGGAAGAGTAACACAGAGACCATAGGAACAGACATTTTTCTGAGTACATGTGGAAGACCAACTGGGAACTCCAAAATATTTTGTGATGGATGTTTGGATGGAACATCCAAAATATTTAGTAATGGATGCTTGTGATGGAAGCCCACTTTGGACTTCTCATGGAGAACCTAGAACTAGGTCATCAAGTCCATTGAAATTATTGATAAAAACCAGGCCTGGGTAATGACTTTGAGTTGAAGAGGAACAGACTGGGAAAAAGGGAGTTGACTGGCAGGTTTTAGGTGTAAGAGCAGAAAGGAAAAGGGAAACATTTATTTTTCACTCTGTACCCTTTTGTACCTTTTCATATTCCTATCATGTGCAATATTACCTATTTTTAAAGTGATTTTTAAAATGTGAGATGAAGAAGCAGAGAAAGTAGTAAAAGAGATTAGGAAGGGGTGATCAGAGTGATTAGAGGAAAACCAGGAGAGAGTAATAACATGAACACCAGGACAAGAATATTTCCAAAAGGGAAGCGAGGCCAACCATGGGATCGTTAATATTGAGTGTCAACTTGATTGTACTGAAGGATGCAAAGTATGAATCCTGGGTGTGTCTGTGAGGGTGCTGCCAAAGGAGATTAACATTTGAGTCAGTGGGCGGGGGAAGGCAGACCCACCCTTAATCTGGTGAGCACAGTCTAATCAGCTGTCAGCACAGCTAGAATATAAATAGGCAGAAAAATGTGAAGAGAGAGACTGGCCTAGCCTCCCAGCCTACATCTCTCTCCCATGCTGGATGCTTCCTGCCTTCAAACATCAGACTCCAAGTTCTTCAGTTTTGGAACTCAAACTGGCTCTCCTTGCTCCTTAGCCTGCAGATGGCCTTGTGGGACCTTGTGATTGTGTGAGTTGATACTTAATAAACTCATATCTATATCTATATATATATATATATGGAAGGCAGCCACAAGGCCTCAGAGTAGAAAACTGTTTCTTCATTTGTTTTGTGCAGAATTTTCCGTTTTGTTTTTTACTGAAACCTGTAAGAAGGGGTTCATTTTACACTGAGACCTAGCACACACTCATATATAACTAAAATAAATGTTTCATGAACCCATACTTACTTCTACTACGTGTATTAGTTATTATTGTTGTATAACAAGTTAGCCCCAAATGTAGCAGCTTAAAACAATTATTCTCTCAAAGCTTCTGTGAATCAGAAACTTGAAGCAGATTAGCTGGGTAGTTCTGATATAGGTCTGTTAGGAATTGTAGTTAAGATGTCAGCAGGAGCTGTTTCCAAGATGCCTCAAGCATATGACTGTTGGCAAGAGGTCTTAGTTTTTCATCATGTGGGCTCCTTCACAGAGTTGCTTTAGTTTCCTACAACATGGCAGTTGGGTTTCCCCAGAATAATTGAACTGAGAAAGAGCAATGAAAAAGCCACAGTCAATACTTCTTTTTGTCCTAATATTTCAGGTATCTTCACTTCTGCCACATTCTATTCATTAAAAGTGATCATCATAATACTATTTAGGGAAAAGAAAATGCACTCTACTAAAACTTTCAAGTCTTCAACCTCCCTAACACCTGAGGATAGCCATGTGAAATCGTTCTGGCAATAAGCTGTAATCAGACATCTACAGGAAGGTCATGTCTTCCTGAATAGAAAGGCAAAACTTTTTTTAAAAACCCCTTATTCTCCCTTTTCTCTTTCTTGGTATGGAGAGTGGAGACCTGGAGATGCAAGTCATCTTACAAACATATGTCAATATAAAACTTTAAAGTCCAGGATGGAGGCCTGGAAGCTGTATCTCTGATGGTATTCTTAGGCTGCTCTTTTCTTGACTTTTTGTTGAGACAAATAACCCGAGTTTAAAAAAAAAAAAAGGAATGAGTCGCTAAGTACAGCCACAATTAAGGGGAAAGAAAATGAATTTATATTATTTGAAGGGAGAGGTATCAAAAAAATGTATATCTATCAAACTGTGTATGGTGAAATCTGATATGATTTATTCTGTCCTACACCACTTCAGTTTGTTTTAAATGTTCACTATAAACCATTACACTAAATTCATGACTTACCATTGGTTGTAACCCACAATATAAAATCACTCTATTGACAAAACTGCAGGGAAACAATCACACTCATAACTTAATGGTGGAAGTGAAAAATAGTACAACCTATGGAGAAGGTAATGTGGCAATTTGTATTAAATACTTTGTCTTACTTGGGAGTTATAGTAAATAGTAAAATTACATACAGTGAAACTTCAATGTATGTTTCATATATAATTTTGATTTATTGACCCAACAATAGCAAAACATATTAAAATTTTTTTTTTTTTTTTTGAGATGGAGTTTCGCTCTTGTTACCCAGGCTGGAGTGCAGTGGCGCGATCTCGGCTCACTGCAACCTCCGCCCCCTGGGCTCACGCAATTCTCCTGCCTCAGCCTCCTGAGTAGCTGGGATTACAGGCACGCGCTACTGTGCCCAGCTAATTTTTTGTAATTTCAAAACATATTAAAAATTTAAAATGTTTGAAAAGTTTTTTTTAAAAGCAGCCAGTGACCCCCCTCGAAATGGGTGTGGTCATAGTCCTCTATGGTTCTGAGATAGAGAGATGATTTTTTTTATGTTTAGAGAGGGGCTCTAAGGTGGTCATTTGAGCTGGGTCCTCTTGGACTGCAGTGGAGATAATTTTGCAGCAACTCATGGATATAGGGCCAAAGACAGACTGATGGATGTCTTGGCAGATGCCAGGATGAATGGATGACAACTGAGGACTTATGGTTCACCAATGCGTTGGCACTAACCAGCCCCTAGAACCTAGATGCTGTCTTAAGTTTTGCCATCTGGCAGAATAAGATACTGAATTGCAAAAAAATAATGACTTTCTTTCTTACACCACTAAAAGTGTAGCCTAGGATTTAAATCAGTTGTAAAAGTACAGGCAATTATTTTGATGAGTTGGCTGAAGGGAAGGAGCTGAGGGAGAGAAAAGGAGGGAAGAATAGGAATTTTTCCTCTCAAGTGAGAGATTAGAGCATGCTTAAGTGCTCATGGCAGGGATATGGTTCAGTGGGAAGGCCAAGGATAGTAGGAAACAGAAATAATAGATAGCATGAGATTCCTGAGGCTGGAGAAGGGACCACCTTCTTTATTTTAAATGGAAAACAGAGCTGAGAACTAATACAAATCCAGTTTAGTCAGGTTTGGTGGCTAAAATATGAAGAAATATGTATCTGATGGCTTCTATTTTCTTGGAGAAGTAGCACCAAAAGTCATATTTCAAGAGGTTAGGTTGGTTAAATGTTTCAGTGGAGGAAGTCTGAAGGGTCACAAAAGTGGGCAGAAGAAGTGAGTTGACAAGTGAAAATGTTCAGATTGCCAGCAGAGTGGCAGGGCCAGGTAAGGCTGTGGATTCTAAGTGCAGGGGGTACAAATTAATCTGACTCTATTTTTTTTCCAGTGGTGCTCAGATGCGCTAGAGCAGGAATGGGGAAGATGGATGACTGTGGTTATGCTGAGTTGAAATTATTCCAGAAAATAACAGCTCTGAACCTCTTCATATATACACACACACACACACATAAATAGTTGTTTTCCAAATTAAAAAAAAAAATCTTTCCTTTAAATTGTATGCTGTTTTCCCATCCCTTTGATAGTTGTCTTTATCTTCCTTGGCTCTTTTCCAGGTTTCTCATTGTCTTTTTCAAAAGAGAGAGGCAGTACAGTATAGCAGTTAAGAGAGGACTTCTGGCACCAGTCTGCCAGGTACAAATCTCATGTTTAGCACTTACTAGCTGTGTCATCACATAACACCTCTGTGCCTCGGTTTTCTCATCTGCAAAATGGGGACAGTGATAATACAGCATGCCTTCATAAGAATGCTCTGAGGATATATGAACTAATGCACCTACTATACAGAGTATTACTTGTTGCTATTATTATTTTCACCCAAATGAAATACTCAAACTGGGAGCAGAATAAGACATGAAGGATTACCGTCTGGCCTTTACATAGTACTCAATATTTAATCCATTTCAATATTTCATAGCTTCTATTTCTCCTTTCCCCACGAAGTCACTATAATTGCATACTCATAGTAAGCATGAGGAAACGTCGAAGTCTTAGACTACTTTGAGAATCATTCCTTCTTCATCTTTTGAGGTGTTGATTGTTTAAGTACTTACACTGGGTCAAATGGGTTGCTGATCTATACCTGCATATCTCTTGCTTCCAAATTCATCTCTTTTCCTTGACAGCCTCTTCTGAAAATGCTACAGCTTTTCTTCTCCACAAGTAAACTGGTTATGGCTGATTGCTGTCACAAAGCCACAAGGTCCTTGCTGAGGCTGTAAGCCCTCTGCAGATGAGTACTGTGGCTTCTACTTTTTAGTAGCCTTAGTACCCAGGAAGTTGCCCTTATAAAAAGTAGAAAACAAAAATGGTAGATGATAGTCATGCTGATAATGATGACAGTACCGTAACTGATCATTCTTGGTTTCCTTACCTGTAGACTTCTGTGGGGATAAAAAGAAACAAACACGGGGCTTTCAGGCCAAACAGATTGTAGTTCAAATCCTAGTTCTACCACTAAATAGTTAAGAGAGCCTTGGATTAAAAACAAATGATCTACAGCACTGTAAATTGTTCAGTAATTTATGAACAACTTTCTCTTTTTCCCCTCCAATTCTTGCCTACCATGACTCTTAGGGCCATTAACAGAATGGTCTCTTTCACAAGCCATGCCTTTCCTAAAACTTCCTACCACTGAAGAGGTGGGGCTGGAATTCCTTTTCTTCCTTAAACTCCTTCGTGCCATCACCTTGTTTCTTTCAATCTCTCAGATTTTCCCTTCACTCACCAGGTAGGTTTATTCTAGATCACATTTATTTTTCAATGCCTTTCTTCAATTCTTCTCAGGCAACACACTATTTTGCAACATGCTCACCTCCTTACTTTAGATCTCTCTCTTTCTGCCCTTTATTCACAAGTGTAATTCCTATTCCATGATGTCTTTTATAATTGGAAGACTTTATCATTTCTCTCTAAATCCCAAAAGTGACTCGGTGCCAAAAAATACACAATGTTTTTTTCGCTTTAACAGGAAAATACTGCAGATACCTGTTTTTGTTAGTCCAGCTGCATGAAATCTATATATGCTTCATAAAGTAAGGGCTAGAGAGGAGAGATTATTTCACCTACTTTGTACCACATTGAGTGTAGCAAATTTATAAACTTCTGACTTGTGATGATAGCCTGAGAAGCAGAAAAAATTAAAACATTTTTAGCTTTGACATGAATCATGTATTTCCACCTTTGATTACAAAATAATGACATGTAACCACTTGTCAAACAAAGGAATACTAAAAAATATATTTAAATACTTTACAAGAAGAAAATGCTGGCTATTTCATATTGAAATCCTCAAATGACAGCTAATGTCTTTTCATATCAACTGTAAATAACTTGTTCAATTAAGGCTGTGAAATATTGAAGAAAAGAGGGGCAGGATAAGGGAAAGAAATAAGAAAAAATAACATTTAAAATAATTCTGAATAAATGATTCTTTGTGTAGTCGTATTTAACATGAGAAAGTTCACATACACAAATCCTGAATTATGCTTTTGAATTACTGTAAAAAAAACACCTTTTCTGATAAGATAGAAATTTTAAAAGCATCATTGATTTGTAAATTTCTGAAGATATTTTCAGTTTGCTTGAAGTTCTTTTCCAACTTTAGGCCTGTGTTTTAATACTCTGTTATGTATAGTCCCACACCTACTACATTATCTTAGACAAGTCATAGCTATAAAGCAACCATCAGCTATTTTAAAAAACACAAAATATACCAAATTTCTAAAAGTAGATTAGGATCTTCTTGGAAAAGTCTATGTTAATTCCAAGAGGCTGCTTCTCAAAATATTTTTAGGATTCCTCTTTGGAACAATTTTCAGTTGGCTAAAACCACATAGGAAAGCCAATTTTGTTGCTTTATAGAGGTCTCATTTTAAAAATAATAATAATTTAAATAAAGTGGCATCACTCACCTTATTTGATCAACTTGATTTCAAGTTACATTATTGGCTGTATTCAAAAATCATATTTACCTCAAAATTCAAATATTTTCTACAATGAAAAAATTTTTTTAATGTGAAAGCCTTCTGAGAGCAACATCCCAAAATTTATCGGAAATAAAAGTAGCAGATTAGAGTAAGGATAAAGCTTCAAAGTTTTCCAAGGCAGATCATTTTGGGGGCATGATGCGGGTGGAAGGAATGTTAATTTTTACATATAATCTTGGAAAACATTTAAAAGACACATTTCTTTATGTTCATACCTCTATTTGCCCTTCAGATGGTTGAATTATACCTAATAATAACCACCTTTTCAAAATCCTAAAATGATTTTAAATGGGTTATGAATTTAAAATTTCCCACAAAGGTTACCAAGGGGTGGGGTGAGGAAGTGCAGCAATGTGTGTAGGGATAAGACTTTTCCACTCCCAATCTAAGCACCCAAAGCACGTCAGAAACACAAGCTCTAGAATCGTAAGTTTTGCTGGATGATAGTGATTTAGAGGGGCTTTCAAGCAGCTCTTAGGGTCTCCATTCATTCCTGATAATCTATGTAGCTGAACAATACTAGTTGCATTCAATATTTTGTTTGTTTCACAGGGTGGTCCTATAATACTAGGTTTTCAGTGATTGTGAACATTATTTTTGTCATTTTTGGCACTTACAGTTCACAATGTTTGGTTATGTGGTTTAAGATTGTTTTAATTTTTGCATTTTACATTACTTTTGGCACTTTTAAAGAAAGGGACATTGTCTTTTATGCTGTGTTGGGGGAAAGTGGTAAGCCTCCCCCAGTCTCTAGCTTTAAATGTTTGGCTTTATGAAATCCACGATTTCTCTATCCAGAATCCTCTATCATTAAATGATGCGAGTGGAAATTTGCCTTCATAAGCTAGCCATCCCAAACGCCTTAGAGGCTGGTATCCCCACCTTCAGATTTAGGCTGTTTGGCCACTGCAGTCACAGGCTCTGGTGGTCCCTCTCCGCAGAAAAGTACAACTGGATTTTTGCGGGCCCACATGGCCACGTCCCCTAATACCCTGCTGGCCGGGGTGGAAGAGGACATCCTGCTGCAGGCCCCCAGCCGGTTGGCATAGCGGTTTCGAAGGCGATTGAGGCTTCTGGCTTGCAGACCCGGACCCTGGCTAGGCAGGAAAGCATCCACATTCCTAGTCCGGTAGCCCTCCTCACGGTTGCGCCCTAGGAGCATCGAAATGTTGGGGTTGCGGATGGCGTAGACGACAGGATTAATGGCCCCATTGGCCCAGGTCAGCCAGACGACTACAACGTTGAGGAGCGAGGGGGCCTGCGCGGCCTGGGCCTGCCGGGCGGCGGCCATCAGCACCAGGACGCAGTAGGGCCCACAGCAGCAGATGACGAAGATGATCATGATGAGCACAGTGGTGGCCGTGCGCACCTCGCTGAAGAAGCGCAGCACGCGCGCGTAGGTGGTCACGGGCCGCACACGCACGTCCGACAGGTGCACTGTCTTGCAGATGTGGTAGTGGCAGAAGCACATGATCAGGAAGGGCAGCAGGTAGCAGGCCACCACCAGCCCCACGCTGTAGGCTGCGCCCAGCTGCGCGGGGTCGGGGGAAGTCCGGTAGAGGCAGCCGTGGAAGCTCTGCGCCGCCGCGAGTTCCCGGGGTGCCCCGAGCAGCTCCCAGGGCAAGGAGAAGCCCAGGGCCGCCAGCCAAGCGCCCGCCAGCAGCTGCAGTGCCCGGCGGCGGCCAATCTTCTCCCGCGGCGGCCGCACGATGGCGCAGTAGCGGTCCAGTGAGATGAGCGCCACGCTGAACGTAGACACGATGCCGAAGCACGAGCTGAAGAAGCGGCTGGCTGCGCAGAAGCCGTGCCAGGGCCCCGCGGCGGCGGCAGGCACCGAGCCCCCGGGCGGCGTGAAGAGGTCAAGGAAGGCGGCGGGCAGGCAGAGCAGCGCCGTGAGCAGATCCGACAGGGACAGCGACAGGATGAAGGCGTTGGTGACGGTGCGGAGCTGCCGGTGCTTTACGATGACACTCATCACCGCACAGTTGCCCAGGCTAGACAGCAGGAAGATAAGCAGGAGGACGAGCGCCTGGGCCGCCACCGCTGCCCCGTGCGACAGCAGCGGCGCCGTCTCCGGGCCCAGCGGCGGCCTCATCGCCGCCCCAGCCTCCCGCGCCGCCCCGGACCCGCCGAGGCCGCCGCCAGCGGGAGCGGTAGCGGTGCCGCCCCCGCTCGCGTCGCTCAGGTTCCCCAGCCCCGCGGCCCCCGCGGCCGCCACGGAGGAGAGCACGGCGGCGGCCGCCGCCGCGGAGGAAGTCCCGCCAGACAAGCCGGCCGCTGAGGGGGCGCCGCGGTGTAGGCTGCCCAGTAAGGCCGTGCTCGCTGGTGGACGGGCCGGTGGCGGCGGTGGCTGCTCCTCCATGGGGCCCCGTGGCGGCCGCGGATCTGCTCATCCCGTACTGGGGGCGGCGGCCGCTCGGCCGGAGAGCTGGCTCAGGGCCGGGGGTTAGCGGCCGTTGCGGGAAGCCAGGCTCGGCCGGAGGCGTGGCAGTAGCCGGGGACCCAGCGGAACCTTTGACGTGGGTTCCAGTGTTGCCAAGGGAACCGCGTGTTTATGCAGGAGTGCGGGGCGGGACGTCAGCCCAGTACCCTCCGCAAAGGCGAGACACTGACTTTCCCGGGTTGACCGGCCTAGGGCTTTGGTTTTCGGAGAGTGTCAGGTCGACCTCCTCAGGGACCCCTGTCCGGCCAGATAAACAGGACTGGCATGGAAACAAATGACCAGATTCAACGAAGTTCATTCACTCTTTCTCTCTTTTGTTGGGTAAAAATGTTCTACAGGCAGGCCTTTTGGGGAGCAGGGGGCGCTTTGTTCCCTGTGGGTGCTTTTGGCGTATACAGGTAGGAAAGGAATCTAGAACCTGAAGTGAAAGAAAAATCCAGAAGTCTACATCCAGACACCTTAAACTTGAGAGGTAGACTAATTTAAACCAGTAGTTCTCAAACTTGAGCTAACAGAAGTCACAGAGGGCGTGTTAATATACAAGTGAGGAAGTCTCAAGCCCAGTGTTTCGGATACCTCTGGGGAAGTGTCCAAGAATTTGTATCTCTAACGGGTTCACCGGTGGCGATGAAGATGCTGGTCCCCGGACCACAATTTGAGAACCACTGATGTCAAGAGCTTCATAAAATACAGATTCTTTGGCTGACACTCAGTACTGAGGATTGGCCCATGCCTCTAAACCCCGTAGGTGATTTTGATACAGGTGCTCTAAGGAGCTAGGATATGGATCTTCTTTAGATGTTACCTCATTTCCAAGGGCCTGGACCTCAGGCCCCTACTGGCTGATAAATGTGGGGAGAGGGATTGGTGCCTTGCTCTGCTGGCAGCCTTCATCTGTTCTCAGGAATGGGGTGTGTTTTGAGTCTAAAGTGCTGCCAGCCTGACAATTACCACAGATGCAGCTCCAGCTACCTGGCTGGGAGACACAGGGAAAAGAAAGGCATGGCTGCCTAGGGAAGTTGCACTTCAAGTTTCTGGGGATGGCCTCTCATGGGGAAAAGTATGATAAACGCTCAGGTTAACTAACCCTAGGCTCTTTTCTAAAGCAGTGGTTCACAGAGTATGGACACTGGACCAGCAGCAGCAACATCCCCTGGAAACCTTGAGACATACAAATTATCAGGCCTGCAGTACATAGGATACTCCTGATCTACTCAAACTCCTTCGGTGGGGCCCAGGCTCCTATGTTTTAACAAGCCCTCCTGGTGATTCTGATGCACAAATTTGAGAAACACTGCTCTAAAGGATGACAATACATTTGTAGGTCTTAGAATCAAGATATTAGTACTTGGAGTGCCTATGTCTTTCAGAAAAAAAAATCCTACAGGAAATTTACAGTATAAATAGAAGAATGTTTAAGGTGGCAAACCAAAACTGGGTTTCACAGCCTCAGTATCATGGACTTTTTGAGCTAGATAATTCTTTGTTGCAAGGGCCACCCTTGTAGGATGTTCAGCAGCATCCCTAGCCTCTACCTAAGAGATGCCAATAGCACCTCTCCCAGCTGTGACAACTAAAAATGTCTCCAGATATTGCCAAATGTCCTCTTGGTAGCCATCAACCCCAGCTTAATCTAGAATGATTTTGTCTTAATTTTGTCAATCAAGACAAAAATATAATTATCATGCATTAATTTATGTAGCAAACACAATCTTCTAAGATTGTGCTTAGTTTTAGGAAACAACAAATAAGATATGAAACTCAGCCCAAATAAGCTTACAGCCATAGGCAAACACAGTATATTACAGTATGCTAAATATTGTCTTTAAAATGTGAACAAAATCATTTGGAGGTGACTCCTTCTGATGAAGGCTTTGTACAAGCGGTGACATTAGACTTTCCTAAAAAAGAAAGGGGAAGAACCGTGTTGCAGTGAGCAGTGTTTGAGTTCCAGGATACTGGGTATGGGGAGTAAAAATGGAAATAAATGACCAAAGCTATTGGAGCCACCTTATGATTGGCCTTGTAAGCCATGCTCTGGAGACTGCAAGTCCTGAAAGGAGGAGGGGCTAATAGCACAAGGGAGGGCCATGAGCAAGTACATTGTAAAACAGGACCAAAAGGACTGTACTCACCTGGTTCCTTCCTTCCTCATCTTTATCAGTGTCCTCTTCTCTGCCAGTTCATCCTCTTCCACCTGCCTTTACATGCTGAAGTTCATCAAAGCCCTGTTCTCAGCTCCTCTGGACTCCCCCCTCAGCCCCATCTCACTCATATCCAGGACTTCAAAGATTATCTATATATTCACTACTCAAATTGTCTGTGGCACCAACCTACATGTCCTGATACTTGGCATCTCTCCTTGATGTGCTGGTCGTGCATCAAATGGATTCATGATCCTCCTCCTACTTTCCCTGAAAAACATGGTCCTCAATACTCTGTATCTCAGAATATGGTAGAACCATCCCCCTAGCTTATAAGCCAAAAACTTAAGAGTTTTTATAAATCCCTCTTCCTTGCCACCAGTCCACATCCAGTTCATCAACCACAACCTACGGATTTTAGTTGCAGACTATCCCTGCATCCATTCACTCCTCCATCCTGAATCTTGGCTCTCATCCTCTCATTGGACTACTGTTGTCACTGTTGTCCTAACTGGTCTTCCCATATCCAGTCCCTACACTGGAGGCAGACAGGCATAATGCTCTTAAAAACACACACACAAATTTCTTCATGCCACTTACTTAATTCAACTCCTCTAATTAGGCTGGTGTAGTGGTGTGTGCCTATAGTCCCAGGTACTTAGGAGGCTGAGGAGGGAGGATCATTTGAGCCCAGCAGTTAGAGGCCAGCCTGGGCAACATAGTGAGACCATATCTCTTTTTAAAAATTCTATTGGCTTTCACCATTTATTTTAGAATAAGGACCCCAATCCTTAATATTTCCTAAAAGGCACTGCATTATTTAACCCCTGCTTCATTTCTAGTCTCATTTGAGACCACTTTCCATCATTTTTGCTGTGTTCTCGCCCCTCTAGGCTTTTATGACTTCCTTAAACCTTTCATCTTAGGGCATTTGCACTTACTATCCCCTCTGCCTGGAAAGCTCCATCTTCCTCCTCCCTTCCTTAGCATCCCCATCTTCACATTAAGGTTAGTCCATAGGGGGAAGCCTTTCTTGATTGATATCCTCTTCTCACATATTGGACCATGTTCCCTTGTTAGTTTCACAGCACTCTGTATTTTCCACTGTAGCACATTACCTTGGTCTATAATTTGTGTGTGTGTGATTATCTAAGTATTATCTGCCTCCCACTGTATACTATATGAAGACCTAAATCTGGCCTATTTATTTTATGAGATCCTTGGCACTTAGCACTCTAGCAAACTGCTATATGAATGCCCACATACAAAAAAATATTTTTTGAGTGACTATAAGAGGAGAATCTGGAAGCTGGAAGACCAGTTAAGGAGAGGCATTCTAATAGCTGAGGAGAAAAATGAGAGTCTGAAGTGGACCTCTGCAGTGAAGAAGGAGAGGTCGAGTATAGATTATGGTAAGTGGTATATAGATTAGGATTCTTTGGGCATAAGTAACAGAGAGGACACTTGTTCACATAACCAATATATGAATTTACTGGAAGGACAGGGGAAGTTCCATTTACAAAATGAGGGTCTAACAGCCAGCTCCAAAAAGAGAAGTCAGAGAAGTCCTGTGGGTAGAGAGAGCAGAAACTGATGGAGTGATCTCTTTAGGCCACCATTGGAATAGATCAGCTTCAGTTTTCAGACCTTATGTTGTTTCTCAAGATCTCAATGTGGGGGAGAAAGTCTGACTCATGTACCGGTCTCCTGGCAGTCCTAGCAAGACTACATGCAGGTAGTTTCCCAAAGAAAAAGGAGAGTGTTGTTGATAAAAGAAGGGAAAAGGTCTAATAGCTGGAGAAATCCACTGTTATCCACCTTGGGAGCATTAACAGAGAGGACAAAGATTGTGAACAGAAGACAAGGGTCAATCCCAAGTCCCTAGATTGGTGGATGGTGGTACCATTAATCAAGTTAGGGAATAAGGGTGATAAAGCCAATTAAATGAATAAATTACTTCAGTTTCTGGATGCTCCAAAATAAAATGCTATTACCTATCTCACAAAAGTCTACTGAATTCTCTGAGAATGTCACATCTTGGAATATTTTAATGCTTCACTTATTTTTAACAGGCTCATAGATAAGTATTAACTAGCAGGAATGCCAGTAGTAAGCTTTTATTTCCTGTTTTAAATCTACCTGGCATGCAGTTGATAGAGTATGAGACTCATTCCATTGTACAGATTCACTGATTAATTTCTTCTGTATTCCTGTATTTTAATAATGCAATAAGGAACCCCTTTTATAAAAACCCTGAAGATACAGCAAAAGTCTGATTACTAATTGGTCTTCTCAGCATCAATCTCTGATACTTCAGTACCTGTGGGTGTAGAAGCTGAGCTTTGCGCCACAGAGAACACCCTAGCAGCAGCTATAACAAAGAGGCTGACTCCAACCTGATCTTTCCCAGGCTATTATGCTAAGTATTGAGTACTTTATAATAATCCGTCTCATTTATATACTGCTTACAGAGAGGGCATTATTTTACTCAAAAAATGGAAGACAAAAATAATAAGCTTGGAAAGTTCATTGCCGAATTTCACATATTATTCAAAAAGCCTTTAAAACAAATATGATATTAGTAGTAATTACTATAAAGCAATATTTTAAAAGTAACTACTGTTTTAATTTTACCTGATACGTTAATCACTAGAAAAAGACTCTAAATTTCTGTCATTTTGTATGCTAGACATAGTGATATTTATACCAAAATACAGTTGCAAATATGAGGTATAATGACTTTATACTTAGCCACAGTGTAGTATTTTAGAAAAAATGAAAGTTAGCTTATATGTATAATTTGAATATTGGTTTCCACATAATTTAGAGAAAAAATTACTTACAGATAATGATTACTTTAAAAAGAAAGCCCTTACAATCATGGAAGAAGTCACTTGAGAAGAAATCCATCCTTCAGTGGGTCGTCAACTTCCACTGCAAAGCTTGCTGTACCTGTGTAATGGGCTTGTCCTGATACTTCCACTATAACAGCTTTAAAATCACCACATTTCACTTCCTGAAAAAAAAGATGAAAGGAGTACACTATCAAAATATTGAACTCATATTGTATTTGGCTTGAAAATTGTACTCTTGACTTTTATCATGTTAAGAAAAGGCCAAGAATTAATCCTATGGGCAAGGGAAGGTTTTTAAGGAGAGTGACATGGTCAGACTTGTGTTTTAGATAACTGTAGCTGTAAAATGGGGGTCAATCTGGAGAAGAGAGAGATAAGAGACCCAGAAACATGTTAAGATCTAATCTCAATTCACTGAATGATTCCAGAGTCACTAGGGTAGTTTTCAGTGAAGATGGAGAAGAAGAATATATACTAACATAGAGATAGTTTGGAAGTAGAACTGATAGATCTCTTGACCAATGCATGTGGGAACTGAGGAATAGCAATAAGTTAATTATAACCATAGTTTCTAGCTTGGAAATGATGCTAGTGATGCCATTAACCGCAATGGGGAGAGAAAGGAGGAGCACATTTTAGAAAGAGAGGAAGGAAGAACTTTTTAACAAGGTGAGTTTGAGACACCTCTGGGACAATCATTTAGAGATGAGTGTAGTCAACAGTTGGGATTAAGAGCATTAGATTCAGAAAGACACACAGGGTAGGTAGGCCTGGTAGGGATAAAGATTTGGGAGTCATTACCAGTAGGTGGTTGAGAACTGATGCCTAGGAAGTGGATGAAATTGCTCAGCAGCATCAAATTGTAAATGAGATGGGAAGGAAGTTGAGGATGAAATGATGAAGACATCTAAATGGAAGGACAGGGAAAGGAAGCTGGGGCAGGGGAAGAAACTGAGAAGGTACCATCAGGGAGCCTGGATGAGCCCAGACAGACAGGGAGAGAGCAAGATGCAAGTGAAGACATTCTTCTGGCAAGCATGATTAATAACGACAAAACAACTGAAACCTTAACTTCAGCATATCCTTTTATGTTCTAATTTTTGACAAGAATGACTGAAGCTACAGGTAAAATATCAAATATTGTTAGGGTATAATACTTTATCTTTGTATAAGATGTTTGCCAAAACAAAAAAAATTATGAGAAAAGTGGCATTATTTGATATTTTTGCAAACCTCTTTTATGTCTGGCTTAATTGAAAGCACCTGGGTTCTCCTAGCTAGCTTCTGCATTCAATTGGTTGGGTTATCATAGAATGCATAGCCTCTGAAGAACTCCACTGTGCACTCTTGAGAGAATGAGAGTGAAAAGCAAATAATGTCATTATTGTGAACATAGTTTTGACCTTCTGAACCCATGGAAAGGACCTTGGACCACATTGAGAATCAATATCCTAGTTGAAAAGAAGTTTTTAAACTCTTTAAAACTCTCTCCTGAGAGCTGAGTGAAGAAATTTATCAAACACCCACCTCAGGCCTCTTCAGTCTCATAAATGACACATTTATAAATAAGAATCTAAGGGTGTCACTTACCCTCACAGCTTTCCCTGTGAATACTGAGCCAGTTGCACCGCTTTTAAAGGCTCTGGTCTGGTTCAGTGCTAGAAGCCCTTTGTGATACTGTAAGGCAATTCGGGCTGTCACTCCTGAGCCAGTGGGACTTCTGTCAACCTGTTTCAGAACAAATGAAGATAAGAATGTTAACAGTGTTTTAGTTCCATATTACCTGGCTTTTGTGCCTAAACATAACAGTTTTAATACCTGTTCATCTGCAAAAACACAAATGTTGGTGGTTGGTTCCTCGGTATAAGCATCTTTCCCATCTGTTAATATAGTTCCATATAAAAAGGCAAGGTCTTCACTATCAGGGTGATTAATTTTAAACTGCAAATAATAAGAAAAAAATGGTAAGATCAATCACATGCATACATACAGTGTGTTCTTGGTAAATGTTTGTTAAGAGGGAATGAATGAAAATGAATTTATATTAACTTTAACCCTCCATCCCCATGGCCTTTTCCTAAATCTGCTTCAGCAGTATGAATCGTCAACAGTTCAAAAAGTAATTAATTGTACTGTCTGATACATCAATAATAGAACTTGTCCTCATTTTTCTCAGAATCCTTCCCCACTCAAAGTCCACCCCTTGCTACCTTGTAGAGTTCAAACTCAAATGAGAAGTTCAAAATTACAACTTTTATTAAGATATCCATGACTTTTTCTCTTGAATTCATTAAAAATCAGGAGAAATTATTTTGTGCCAAACTGTTAGCTCAAACTATTAGCTGTCCTGCTTAATGGAGCAGAAAATTGATGTAAATTTAGAGCTTCAAAAGTTACAATAATGTAGTTACACATATTGGTATTGGCAGTACCAGAAAAATAATTTAGAATGCTGATATAGTATATATTCTCATTTTATTATTTAACTTATAAATTATATTAAAACAAAGCCTCAGAACTGTTAGATAGGCCCATAGTAATTATTAATACATTAAACACTATTTTACATGAGTTACTTTTTACTACTAATAAATTCTCACATACCAAACATTCAAATACGGTACACGTGTTTTATTTATAGGTCCCAATTTCAAGGTAAAATAGCAGACTTGTGAAAGTGAAATAATATTCTAGAATTATTTATTATGTAAACTGATTTTTATCAGAATAGCTTTGCCAAGTAAAAATCAGATTTCTTAAGTAGTTAGTTGAGTAACTTCTTAGCAATATAGGAAAAAAAATCATTAATAGGAATTAATGTTCTCTTTGAAATAAGAAAAAGTCTTATCAGGCTTAAATATATTTTATATGCTATATTTTACATTTATTATTTTCAAGTTTTATAGAATGATCATGCACATACATTTAAAATTTGTGGAATTCTACAAATACATTTCTACACATTTAAGGAACTATAAACTATATTAGTATGTATGTACTATTAAATTTAGTAACTGCTGGTTGTGGTGACTCACACTTGTAATCACAACACTTTGGGAGGCCGAGGTGGGAGGATCACTTGAGGCCAGAGGTTTGCGAACAGCCTGGGCAAGATAATGAGATCCTGTCTCTACGTAAACACACACACACACTCACAGAGAGAATTAGCTGGGTGTGATGGTGCATGCCTATGGTCCCAGCTACTCCAGAGGCTGAGGCAGAAGGATCATTTTGAGCCTGAAAATTCAAGGTTAGAGTAAGCTATGATCACACTACCGCACTACAGCCTAGGTGACAGAGCAAGAATCTGTCTCAAAAATATAATATCATTTACCAAACATTTGCTATTGGCCAGGCACTATTTTAAGTCCTTTATATATATTGACTTATTTCATTCTCACAACCCTACAAAGCAGGTATTTTAAAATTTTCATTTTGCAGACAGGAAAGCTGAGGCACATGGATGTTATGTAACTTGTCCAAGGTTACAGATGTTACAAGTGGTAAAGCTAGAATTCATAGGTAGGTTTGCTCTAGACAGAGGTGCCCAAACTTTTGGCTTCCCTGGGCCACAGTGGAAGAATTGTCTTGGGCTACACATAAGATACATTAACACTAACAATAGCTGATGAGCTTAAAAAAATGCAAAAGAACTCCTAATGTTTCAAGAAAGTTTACAAAATTTGTGTTGGGCCACATTCAAAGCCATCCTGAGCTGCATGTAGCTCGCAGGCCAGGAGTTGGACAAGCTTGCTATAGAGTGTAAGATTTTAATAAGAAGCCTATTCTTAGTACTACTAATAATTTAAACATTATTCTCTTTATAGACATAATAATGTATATTTCCTTCATGCCACAGAGGAGGGCACTGGTTATGAGGGCAGAATAATACTGACCTGAGCTTTTACTGCCTCTGTCACTGCACTCGCTGCGTCCACAACATCCCTGGTCTTTGCAGAACAAATGTCTAGTCCTAACTTTTCAGCACTCACAAATGCATAAAATGCACCGCCATATGCGATGTCCACCACCACCTTTCCATGTCCAGGAACATCCACCATGAGATCTAAAAAAAGATGTGTTTGGAAATAAGATGTGTTTGTTAAAAACACTTATTATAAAATAATAAGTATTTTAGCAATGAAATTCAAAGGATTTTTAATATCTTCATTTTTGAGGAGGGATGTTCTTTTCCTATCATAAAAAGAACGAAGTAAAAATCCATTTTTTAAAATGAATAAGCATCGGGTGAATAATAGCTAGATGCATCTTTCTATTTTTAACTTGATGTTTGCAGAAGTTGTATAAACTGAATGCCATGCCTTCCCCCCAACTCATATAGACATATTCATTAACTTCTCTGAGAATCTTTTCTAGGAAACATCACTGAGGCTGAGAGAGACCCAGGGGCATCCCTGTGAACACCATGAAGGAAGATGTCGATTCCTCACTTGTACTATGAGAGATGGTTTCAAATAGTAAGGATCTTGGATCCTACTTACAAATCAGTTTTCTTCAGCTGTAATGTCAAAACAAAAATTTTAATAAAATATTTTTCTATATAAATTATATATACTAATCTACCTATTTTCATCTCATTAACATATCCTGCAGGCAAACACACAGAAAAATGCCATTGTAGAATCACTGACCTCTACAGCATCATTTTGCTTTAGGGTTTTTATTTGAGCATTTTAAGTCTCAACATCTCCCAAGTTTTACCTGAAGGTAAGTAGTTTGAAATCCTGAATCTGTATTTCCAAAAAAGGGGGCTGGGTGATGTTTATTTTAGCCCTTCTCAAACTTTCCTCTTTTCTTCTTCCCTAATTTAAGCTAGCTTGGTGATCACTGCCTTTCTGGGAAGTCTATGGCAGGGGAGAAAGCTGGTCTTTCATGCTTTTATTTTCCCCTAAGCTCTCAGGGGAAAGATACCTGTTGGCAAAGGAGTGTCCTGAAGGAAAAAATATTTCTCCTAGAGATAATTTTTATCTGGCTTGAGAAGAGTGGAGGCTGAAGGTCCTTAGTGCAGAGAAGACTTGTGTTAACTTCCCCAGGGCACCACAGGAGCAGAACGTGGAGAAACAGAGGATGGGGAGGCCGTGCAGACAGCAGGGACCAGGTAGGGTGGGACAGCTGATGCTCCTGCTCTGCTTCACTGGTTAACTATGTAAGCTGAGGACTGAAGTGCCATCCTCTCCAAGGCTATGGCACTTTTAAGAAACCTTTGCTCATGAGGCTAAGTGAACCAAAAGGACAGAGTAGGGTTTCAATTTCAGAAATTAAGTTTTGAGAAAGAAAATATATCTTGGATTCCTGAGTTTTCATACTAAGTCATACAAAGATACCAGTGTGCTATTAGTCCACACTAGTCCACAGAAGCCCTTTTAACCATGATGTGTTAAAACAGAGCAAGTTTATAATCAAGAGTAAAATATGCTGTGGATCTTAACAACGAAATTGAATAAAAAATGTCTTTATCTTTATGCTGGCGCAACAGGAAAAGCAAGTTTAATGAAAGGAGAATGAGGAAGTTGATGGAAATGAGGGACTGCTGGAATATGGAACGCTAAGGTGAGGGTGAAGATCAGCATTTACCAGGAGACACAGGTGATAGTCCTAGGGCTCAGTTGGCCTGCCCTTTTCTCTTGATATTAACAATTGAATGGGGCATCTGCCACCAATCCCTGGGCCTGGACAGAGTAGGGATGCTGGTTCAGTAGGAGTCATTACTGAGCCTATAATGGTTTCCCTGGCCCACCCTTTCTAGAATCTTGGGTCTGGTTTTCTTAGGGTGGGCAGGTGGGTAGAGTGCTATACCTGAGTTTCAGTTTCCTTTTCTTTAAAATGGATCAAATTTCCTTTAAAGTTACTCTTGTCCATCAATTATCTGTGACTATTTCATTTTTAATCACTAAATTACTAACATTAAAAATTAAGATATTTCACATGAGTACTTACTATGTGCCAGCTACTTTACATACATAGCCCCTTAATTAATTACATTAGTGCCTTAATTACAACACCCCTGAGAAGCAGGTACTGTTTTACTTACTATCCTCACATTATTCCCAGGCTTTCCCACCAAGTAAGTGGCAGAGCTTAGGGTCAAACCTAGGATCAGGTGACTCCAAAGCCCAAATCCTTTCTCCTAAAATACACAACCTCTATCCAGAAATCAAAATCTAAGGGTTTTTCTTTTCTTCTATACAAGCATATAATTGAAATTTCAATTTGATTTACTTTGCTCAAGATTTAGTGAGCACCTACTCTGTGCTGATTACCGTAGAAGATATAAGAAGTACAAGGATGAATAAAACATGTTTTGCCCTCCTTGGAGTTTTGTTGGACAAGATAGATTTTAAAATATCCTATATCTGTGAATGAGGTGTAATACACTAAGCATTATTCCAGAAAATTGAAACATATCTCCTTAAACTACAAAAAATTTCAAAGATGAGAGGGAAGCAATATGACAGGCCAGGGTTCCAACCCTAGTTCTTCCATTTAGTGTGGCTTTGGTGTCTTCTTGTGCAAACTGTAACTGCTATTTCTCCTAAAAAGAGTTGTTTTGAAAATTCCATGTGTGGGGAGTTCCTGGCACAGACTGGGGGCTCAATAGCCAAAACTTTAATTTCCAATGGGAATAGGTTTCTCAAGAGGACCAGATGTTTACATTTATCAATCAGCATATTCGTCTCCAAATTTCATTTATTTACTCATTCAACAAATATTCATTGATTAACTACTGTTCTAGGCACTTAGAATACTGTGAACAAAAGAGTTTGCAGTTTAGCCTGGTTAGAGATGAACTCAGCAATCCTCTGAGGTGGGTACTGTTGTCATCCTCATTTTACAGACTGTGATACTGAGACATGGACTCTCTAGCACAGGTCACTGAGATGTGGAGGGGCGGGGCAGTGACCTTGAACACCATCTCTGCTTTATACTCATTTTTCAAAGTAGAAAACAAAGCATTTATTTTTCTTAACTCAGTGGCCATTAATGCCCACTAATTATTGTACTGTTACACAGTAATGCTCTCAGGAACTACTGGGCTCAAGCTGACCCTGCCCTAACTGACCCGGGAATGCGATGTAGTTCCTCTTCCTGCTGCCAACTGTCATTTCCCACAAAAGTCTACAGTGTTTCTATTCTGCTGCTGGAGTCGCCTGGGGGAAATTCTGGTAGTCATACTAGTTAAACTGTTGAGGTTTGAAAAATGGAATTGTAAACATAAATTCTGTCTCCCTCAAGTGGCCTCTCAATCTGGAAGTGACACCATTCTCTGGGAAAATGAAATCGATTTCTACAGAGGCATTTTCCGTTAACTTGTGGGTTTCAGCTGCCTGAGATTGTTCTAAAAGTGCCTGTTCTACATATCATTCATAATCAGGCTAATCTGGAACCCAGTTCCTCAGGCAGGGATCAAGGTCCAACTTTCTAACAGATGATTTGCATGGCTTGAAGATTTTTAAGAAAAGGATAACTATTTCTGGTAAACTGGTTCCTGGCTCACTTCCAGCCACAAGGACTAAAGCATTCTTACTGATAGACTTCAGCCCCTGGGACCAGATGCCAGCTTGCCAGGTCATCCCCATGAGTGATCTCCCTTCTGTAAGAGTTATGGTTATAGAGATGCTCTGCTTCACATGACATGCTGTATAAGGAAGGATCTGTACTAGGGAATCCAGCAAAACCTTTTAATAGCTCAATAGGCCTAAGGAACTCTAGCAATCATATATACCTTGCAATCTATCTCCAGGAACATAGTATCTTGCATACTCTCACTCAATCCTAACAGAAAACTCTATGAGGTCAAAGAAGAAACACAGGCACAGAGAGATTAAGTAATTTGCCTAAGGTTGCACGTCTTTAGGGGGTTACCAGGATTTGAACCCAGGCAATGTGTGTTCCTGTTCTTAAAAAGGAGAAACATTCGTATCTTAGTGATTTATAAACTGCTTTGTTCATTCATTCTCATTTAATTTTTCCTCAAAGAAGTGGAGGAGATGAGGAAAGGAGACAAGGTTTAGTAACTTATTAAGGGGGATTATTTGTCTACCAAGCATATCTGAGCCAGCCTGGAACCATGGTACATTGGCTGTTCTTTGCTCTTTCCTTGACCCTATCGTACCTTGCTTTATGCACCGGTGAAACTCTAATGTCTCACCAGTGCAGAAGGAGGCACTGAGTAAGGGAAACACGGAATTCCTCACTCCTCAGAGGTCTCCCAAAACCTCAGGGAAAGTCGAAATTGCATGCACCAAGCAAATACGCAAGGCTGCTGATACACGTTCGCAGTAATTTAACTTTTTATTAATTGCAAGGGCACGCGCGGTGGGTTAGTTGCGAGAGTTCAAGCCCAGAGAGACCGTTAATGTAGTCAGTTGCGTCCCGGTTGCAGCTCTGCCCTAGGCTGGAAGGGTCCCGCCCGTTACCTGTGGCCAGGACAAAGGCTGGGACGCTGTGGAAGCGCACCGGGCCGCGGCTGCGGCCGTCCTCACACTCCACGAAGGCAGCCACCAGCCCGCACGGGCAGTGAATGTTGACGCGGGCCTCGCGGCTGCCCGCAGGCGGTACCGGCACCAGCCCAAAGTCCAGGGCGAAGCGGCCCAGCGCCAGCACAGCGTGGCCGCACATGGAGCTGTAGCCCTCGTTATGCAGGAACAGGACGCCCAGGTGCGCGTCTGGCAGCTCGCTCTGCACTAAGACTGCTCCGTACATGTCCCGGTGCCCTCGGGGCTCGAACATGAGCCGTCGCCGCACGTGGTCAAGGTGCTGGCGCATGTAGCGCCGCTTGGCCAGCAGGGTCGGTCCGACCACCTCCGGACACCCCGCCAGCACGATGCGCAGGGGCTCGCCGCCCGAATGCATGTCCACCACCGACAGCGCCGGCGTCCCCGGATCATGAGGAGGCGGCCAGAGCACCGCTAGCGCGCTCTTCATGGTGTGCATCCGAGAACACCCGCACAGTCCCGCAGAGTTGGCTTCAGCGGCGCTTACCCTGTGACTCCGCGCGAACAGGGCGGGACGCGAAGCAGCCCTTCCTGGGGGCGGGGCCTCGGAGCCTAAACGCGGAAGCGGGGGAGGAACTTCGGAGCGGTTGTCCTGGTTACTGGGAGGCGGAGCCGCCGAGCCCGCTGTGGCCCGGATGTTCGGTGTAGCTGCCAGATCCGCTTATCTAGTGCTTCTCGAACAAAAGCTTCAGGCGGCCGATGGGTGAGTGGTCGTCAAAGTTCCGGGAAACGTTTCTGTTAGTCCCGGTTGCTTTCCTACACGGTTGGCCTCGGGCTTGGCTCCCTGTAGACGGCCTTCGGCTGGCGGCGGAGGCTCGTCCCTTGACCCCGCCCGCCCTCGGCCCGGGCTCCGCATTCCTGCCGGGTTGGGGTTGTCTCTGCCCCCGACCGGTTGTTTGGGGAGGCGCGCTGCCTGCGGCGGAAAGGCCAGACCTTTGTTGTTGATTGAAAATGTCCCTTCAATCCCTTAGTTTAATGTGGAGGGAACACTTGCATGAGGGTGGCTGACTTCAGAATTGAAAGCGCGGCTGACAGTGCAGAAAAAAATAGTAAAGCAGAAGCAAGTTGCTGCATAATTTGTCTCCTGCTTCAACCTCAAACGTAAACTTACAGAGCCTGTCCCAAAGGGGCAAGACCGTTACAAAGAAATAGAGTCTTAAAACTTTAACCATCGTTCGCTAAAGGAAATGGAAGGGGAAATTGAACAGACACTCGGAACCTGGATTTTGTTTAGTAGGTAATAGGCTGTTTATTTCAGTTCAGTTTATCATACTGGTTTTCAGGCCTTGGATTTTGAGAAACTTTAGATTATTGGCAATCACATGTATTTATTAAGCATCTACTAGATGAAAAGCCCATACAGAAGTTTCCAATTCGTTCGCTTCTGCATTCTTGAAAAATCTGAAACATAATTCATTTTCATTTATTAATTTAGAACATTGTGATTACAATTGGTTACCAGAAAATCAGCGCCCATTGAAGAAGCCAATAGGTTTAAAAAGCTAAGTCAGAAATTTGTTAAAAGCGAAAATATTAAACCTGAGACATTTCAGTCAGTACTCTTTCTCTCAGCAGCATAAGAAGAAGGAAATAAAAAGTCTACTTGAATGTGAAAGGAGGGAGGGCATTGTAGACCAGGCAGTCTAGACTATGAATTCTTGAAGAATCTGGGAAATGACAGTTCAAGAATAGTGAAAAGTTGCATAATTTTTCAAATCAATTCACGTGTAGACCACAGTTTGTTTGTTTTAATCCACATTCGATTGTAGGTTCTTGGCAGGAACTCTTTCTCCTTTAGTGGCCTCTAACCAGTGGAATCTGACTCTGAATATGTTTATTGAATGATTGAATCAATGAATGAAGGGAATCAGATGTCAGTGAGAAAGAAAACTCCTTCCATAATTTCTTCTTGTGAATGAGGTCAAAGAACATACTAGGTTCTTAGTTGTTGGGATTTTTTAGTAAGGAATAGCTGCTTTTCCCCTAAGCCTTGAGATCAGGGGATTAATTTTAAGGCAGGGGTGCCTAAATTTGGCTCAGTGACAGCCTTGATGAAATTTACACTTATCCTCCACAAATATGATAAAAGCTAGGATAATCTAGGAAGCTTTTTAAAAAGTAATTTACTTACTCTGTTCTGACATTACGTTCTCTCTGCTATCCTGTGAAAATGTGTTCTGTTATGAACATAGGTGATAATCGTGTGTGTACATGTGGGTGCTTAATGTCCTGACTGGGAAAAATAAAAGATGGTGACCCTCTGTTGGTGCTCTAATTAAAAATATATGTATATTTGAATGAAACTCAAAGTATCCTGTAATCAAGGGGAGGGGCTGGCTGGAGCCATTGGAGACATACCGGGTTAGGCTTTGAGTTCTGGAGATAGATCCTGCTCTGCTGGGTGAGGACCTTAATCTAAGGCACAGTATTAACAGCAAGGTTCCAGGATGACTGTCTGTAGTGTTACAGTGTAAATGAAGAAATTTAAATTTAAAAATGCTTCTTACGTTTGTCTAATACATATTATTTAAAAATTTGAAACAGTGTTGAGATATTTCTACCAAGTGCTTCAGCTATTATTGCATTATTTTTTTTATAATCACAAAAGATGTTACTATACTGGCGTTTGTTTTTAAAAAGCTGTCGATATTCAACCAGCATGCCTTGGACTTTATTGTGGGAAGACCCTATTATTTAAAAATGGCTCAACTGAAATATATGGAGAATGTGGGGTAAGTCTTATGTTTGTATCTTATTTCATATTGTAAAATCTATTGGCTTTTGAAATATTATCACAAGTAGAATATTTTTTCTTATTATACTCGTTAATTTATAAAAGAATAGGGAGGGCCAGGCACAGTGGCTCATGTGTATCATCTCAACACTTTGGGAGGCTGAGGCAGGTGGATAACTTGAGGTCAGGAGTTCGATACCAGCCTGACCAATATACCGAAATGCCGTCTCTACTAAAAATACGAAAAAATTACCTGGGTGTAGTGGCATGAGCCGGTAGTCCCAGCTACTTGGGAGGCTGAAACAGGAGAATTGCTTGAACCCAGGAGTTGTAGGTTGCAGTGAGCCGAGATTGCACGACTGCACTCCAGCCTGGGTAACGGAGAGAGACTGCATCTCAAAAAAAGATAAAATAAAAAAATATAAAAGAATGTGGAGGCATTAAAACAGTCATTGTTTATGTTGACATTTTGATGTCTGTTTTATTTTTCAAAACGTTTAATAATTTTAAAATTTCTAGTTTCTTGTGATTTAGTACAGTGTCTTATACAGTAATTTGAACATCATAAATCCAGAACATTTATCTGCAATTATTCTTATATAATGTTAATAACTAGGTTTTTCATTGAATGTTGGTCAACTTTTAAGTAACTTATAAAAGCAATCTTTTAAGAGCATTGTACCAAAATAGCACATACAATATAGATTCCTTTTTATTTATGCTTTTTTAAATTTCTAAAATCTGCAAATATAATTTCAGCTTAAATATTTAAACTGAAATAGGATGTCTTACAGAATGATGGGGGGTTGTTAATATTCCAAAATAATATCTGTACACAAAATACTGGTTTTATTTATTGTAGGTATGCCCAAGAGGACAGAGAACGAATGCACAGAAATATTGTCAGCCTTGCACAGAATCTCCTGAACTTTATGATTGGCTGTATCTTGGATTTATGGCAATGCTTCCTCTGGTTTTACATTGGTTCTTCATTGAATGGTACTCGGGGAAAAAGAGGTTAGCACATTTGTGTGAACATACCTGGCTGGACTAATGTTGGAACAATTATCACTCGGAAGACCTTATTAAGTAATTATGCTGCTTCTGTTTTTTTTTTTTTTTTTTTTTTTTTTTTGAGACGGAGTTTTGCTCTTGTTACCCAGGCTGGAGTGCAATGGCGCGATCTCGGCTCACCGCAACCTCCGCCTTCTGGGTTCAGGCAATTCTCCTGCCTCAGCCTCCCAAGTAGCTGGAATTACAGGCACACACCACCATGCCCAGCTAATTTTTTGTATTTTTAGTAGAGACGGGGTTTCACCATGTTGACCAGGATGGTCTCGATCTCTTGACCTCGTGATCCACCCGCCTCGGCCTCCCAAAGTGCTGGGATTACAGGCTTGAGCCACCACGCCCGGCCGCTTCTGTTGTTTTAAAAGTAGTAAACATATTTTTCCTTTATCTTCAAATTAGTCTTCCCTGTGACAAGAAAACTTAACAATAGGGCATGACTTAGTGATTTTTAAGGGAACTCTCCTTAATGTGTTTTAGTCTAAATGATCTTGAAGGAATTTTTTTTTGCTTCTCAGCTATAATCCTTACTGGTTTTCTACAAAAATGTTGGTTATGATTATAAGCTATTTATTGTTATGGAACACATTCTTTGTAATTTAATACTAATAATCAAGTATGCAGTTAAAATGATATAGCTGTAACCTAATACAAAAACTCATATTAACATATTAAATCAGCACACGTTTACTGAGCATTGTGTTTTATGTTTGGAAGATCGGGAAAGATATATAAAAATAACTGACATGGCTTATAGCCAGAATCTTGTGGAGAAAACAAATGTGTACATAATTATAATATAAAGCAGTCTTAGACGTGTAGTGGAAGAGTTAGAAACAAAGTACTCTGGAGTTACAAAAAATGGAAAGATAAATTATGCCTGATGGGATCTGTAAGATTTCAAAAAAGGAACATTTTAGGCAGAGGAAATAGCATGAATAATGGCATAGAGGTATGAAATACGTGATCTGAGGTAGGTAAGAATGGAAGTAATCTGGGTTGGTCAAGAGTGGGTTACAAATGAAGAAAAGTAATATAAGGGGAAATAGGAAAGATAGGTTGAAGGCAGAATGTGAAGGTTCTTGACAAGCATGTGAACTTTAATCTGCTGGTAATGGGAAGTCAAACTACCTTAGTGCATTTCAGCCACACTGATTTTCTTTTAGTTCTTCCAGCTTCTCAAAATCTTTCCTACTTTAGGTTCTTTCCCTTCCTCCAACCTCTTTCTGCTGTCTGAAATACTGTCTTCTTCATCTGACTGCAACTTGTTTGGCTTTCTTTTAGCCATGCTAACCTCCCTAGCAAGTTTTGCTCTGTAGCCTGGTTGAACTCCTCTCCTGAAAATGCTCCTTTCTTCTCTACCACACAGCCAGGCTGCAAATTTTCCAAACCTTTAGGCTCTGCTTTCCTTTTAAGTATAAGTCCCAACTTTTAGATCATTCCTTTGCTCCCACATCTATCTGATCATAGGCTTTTAGAGCAGCCACAGCATATCTTGAATGCTTTGTTGCTTAACAATTTCTTGCACCAGATACACTGAGTCATCACTCTTAAGTTCAAACTTCCACAGATCCCAAGGACATGGACACAATGCAGCAACATTCTTTGCTAGGGCATAATATGGGTGACCGTTACTA